TTACTGGCAGATAACAAACGTGATCAGTATCGGTCCAGACAAATTAAATTGCCAGAGAAACGAAGGCATTTGTTAGGATAGGTGACTTAACAACTGTCCTGTTATTAATGTTTTCAAAAGGTATCTTCAATATATTGCCGTATTGCATGTCAAAAGTTTCAGAACAAACGTGTTCTAGTCAGTACTTGCTCAAAGCATAGATGCAACAGGAAACCATTCAATGGCTTGACAGGCTTTATAAGCAGTAAAATCAGGAATACTTATGTGTGCACATCTGCAGAAATAAAAATTGACCTCTGCATACAAGATGAGATGCTCTCTTCGTTTCCCACTAGGTTTAGGAAAACTACAATCTCTTTAACATTACATCTGCTAGAAAGACCAGGATGTCTTTCCAAAGTCAGTCTGTGTAATCTGCACTTCTGCTGGCAGCCAGCCTTTGATCTACAAAGGTATGCTGCATTTTCTTCCTTACTCATTGCAAGCAGTATCATTCAGATTAATACATGCCCAGGAAGTAAGCTCGTACGTAGGTGTCCAGCATGACTTTGCATTACCTCTGTTCATAGCTGTCTATGAGCATGCATTCAACAAGCAGTCCAGCTCCCTTCTGTGCACAAACTGACAAACATACTATGCAGCCTCTTTAGAGGGCTTCAGATTTTTCTAGGAAAAAAGCCTTCCAGCAGTCCATAGATGCCTGCACTGAGGCACCTGGCACTGCACTCGGCTCAGCGCCGAGGACTCCACATCTTCGTGTCATGTGGGACAAGTAGACATCCGGCAAATAGAAGATCAAAGCTAATTTTGTATGGGCTTCTTGTTCTCCCTCTTCCAAAAATAATACAGTAACTTGTAGCCTCTAACAAGCAATCCAGAAAAAATACTAATCCAGATTAAAACATGAAATGATCTGACCAAAGCAATATAATGTTTATGTTACAGTTTGTGAAAAGTTTCTTAAATGAAAGTTGTTTTTTTTTTGAAATGAAGACCCATAGCATTACAAACTGCCTTCAGATAACATAAAGAATCAATTCTACCTTCATTTGTACAGTCAGAAACATGGAGGTAGAGGGCTACACTGGCTTCCACATCAGCAAGCCTTCCACATATTGCAACAGTAGTGAGGCAAACGATTCGTCATCACTGTGCAGAGGGGAATTCAAAACACACTGCATCACACTTTGGTCCTGGCCAAAGAAGGTTTGGGGCTGCTGGCACAGGGACAGCCTTCACTGCGAGCTGCTCACTTCACCTTCAAGTCATACATACAGTTCACAGCACTGCCAATCCTGGGTGCATTTGTTGCCAAGGTCTGTTTGTTTTCCTTTTGAGCAGCCTTGATACAGTTCCCAGAAGTCAGTATCACCTTAGACCAAGGTAAAATGCAAAGAACATGCCAAAAAGCATGAGCAGACCTGTAACGCTGTTCTTTTTGCGCCTGTTGCAAAGGATTTCCTTGTTATCAAGTGACTTAACATCTCATGTCACCAAGAAGCTGTGTCCACCCATAGCCTACAGGTGAAACCTGTCAGATGGCCCTGTTTCTGCTGCCTTCTGCTTTGGGGGAGCAGAAGGAACAATGCTTCCCCAGTGTCAGAATGTGTTGCTCGTCCCTCTGATCCTGACAGCTAGTGGCAGGATGCGTCTCAGAACCTCTCGCACCACCCTCCCCTCTGGCCAGATGTAAAGTGCCAGATTATCACAGCACACTACATTGTTTTGCACATTAGAACTTCATGTTCTGCTGGTTTTCAATAATCACAGGAACACTCCCAGTGTGATCCTCTGGGTCACAGCAGTGCTTTGATGCTTTAGTGTTTCTCTAAATTACAGCAAAAAAAAAAAAAAACATTAAATTCTGCATGTCTTCTGCTTAGGGGGAATTTCTAAGCGCTTCAGTGCTTTCCACCAGCCTCCCCACTGCAGATGAGGCAAAGCCTTGCACAAATTGACCAACATTTGACCAATTGTTTCAGTTCTTTGTGATCTCCAGGCAGTATCTGAAATCCAGCTTAACTCCTGCTGCCAAAATGATCTCCACTTTTACAGTGGAAAGTTTTCACCTACAAAACTCTATGTTAAATTACCAAAACTAAAACCTACATATTTAATGATGATAAATGGTGTCACATTGACACTCAAACGTTTTACCTTTTTTTTTTAGATTCAGCCAAACTAAACCCACATTTGATACCAGCAACACAATCTGGACCTCATTTTGCAAGGAAAAAAAATAATCCAGCAGAATGTTCCCTGAAGATGTCCTGGCAGTCTATCAGAAGGGGCTAGGCTGTGGCCATACCGTCTCTGACAACAGCTGGATCCCTGAAGTGCGCTGTTTTGCTGGATGACTTGGGTAAGGAAGCCATGGGGAAGACAGAGGATTGCTGGGATTGACAAAAAAAAACAACAACCAGCAGCTTAGGAAACTTTGCAAGGGGAGACCCAGTTCTTCTTGTGACTTCCTACACGTGTTTGTGCATTCACATGGCATTCTCTAAAGAAAAATTTGACCCGGAGCTTGTGCCCTAGTTTCCTGTGCCCCTGCCAAGGCCGTATCTGTCCTGTATATATGCTTTTTTTGCAGTATTTATGCAGCTGAGTCCAAGAGGAGAGAAATAAAAGTTCACCCTATTCACCTGTTATTCAAAAGGACACTGACCTCCCAGTCAGATAAAGGATTGCCATGGTTCTGTCTAGTGCCCTTGAAAATTGTTTGAGGAAAATAAAGATCAAAACCTTGTATTTTGCTGGAACTGTTCTAAAAATAATTACTTTTATGTTTTTTTCCCCCGCCCTCAGCTTGAAGTCATTATCTCCCTGTCTGTTCTCAGAGGGTGGTCTTCCTCAAACCATGGGGGCAAGCCAGTCTTCACTGTCCAGAGGCATCTCCCACTTCCACCAATGCCTCTTGGAAATATCTGTTAAGAAATAAACTTGGGGAAGTGAGAATCGATCAAACCACCCGGAAGGGCGATGGAGCTTCACTGCCTGCATTCACGCAGCTGTACCTTCAGCAACTGCAGTCAAACCTTGTTTGGGCACTCTAGTGCTTGCTGAAGGCAACCTTCTTTACCCAAGCTAACTAACGAAGCAGTAATAGAGAATGTTAGCAGAGATCTAGCTACACTGTGCAAACTCCCTGAAGAAGATGTTCCTAGCCCATGCAAAATGGCCCACTGTGCTGTGAAATAGCAGTGAGTAGTTCACAGAAATACGAGTCCGTGTACAGAAGCAATGTGCTGGATGGCTACTCATGTGTTTCCCCTAGCCAAGCTTTAGAGAGAGGCCAGGGCCACTGTCCTTTCCCCAGATCACAGTGTATGGTGACAACAACTAAATCCAGTATGCTGGGACCTCCCAGCACATAGGCTTCCTTTCAAAAAATGTAGGCTGTGAAGAGGCACAGTGCTTTGGCTTAAGGGATGTGGCCTTCCGTGCTTGTTGGGACCAGGCTTCTGTTCCTCAGTACAACAAGCAGAGGAGAGCTCAGCTCCCATGCGCTGCACTCAGAATTCTGATGATCTCAAGATGGATGAGGTTTAGGGAAAAGGTAAACACATGCACTTTCACTCCAAACAAACAGCAGCTATGACCTGGTCAAAGATTAAACTGCAAATGAAGCTGGTAGGAAATTTTCCTCTTATCTTAATGTCAATATATTCATAAACATTTACAAGAGTGCAGGATGAGAGAATGGGCTTTTAATTTCTGCTGTGCTATAGTCAGTGTTCAGCCATGTGCTCTCTACCTATACTGGTACTTGGCAACAAATAGTGGAGTATAATTGCTGCTGCATTACATTATGATGTGCCAGACTGAGCAGCCTAGAAAGCATACACCCAAAGCACAAAACACCCCACAGAGGGTGACATTCCTGCTTTCCTAACAAGAAGAACTGACAAAGAACCCTTGAAACAAGAGCCTCTGAGCACTGGATGTATTTTCTGTATGTTTTCTCTCAAGGCAAAAACAATGAATATCAAACACAGACAGTTCTAAAATGGAAAATGAGTAAGCAGTACAAGGAGCTGAAATAGACAACATGGTAGACTTCCTCAAGGAAAAACAAGCATTTCTGCAGCAGAACACACCGGTTTTGTCTGTGGGGGATGAGCAAAGGACTGTGCTAGTTAACCCACGAATTTCTTAGCTGCAGGGCTGACATTCATCATCCTCAAAGCAGCTGATACTGTCTGTGAGAGGTGGATGCTGCTCAAATCCAGTTCACTAATTCTGATGTACCTGATTGCAGCGTTTTATTTCCCCTGTAACTTTAGAAATCTGTAGGAAGTTCTATGAGATTTTAGCAGCAAGTCCCTTCCTTTAAACAGGGCTCAAAGCAAACTGAAAGATCAGCTCAAGTAATACTTCCAAAATAAGTTTCTTAGGGCCAAATTTCCCTCTCACGACAGCACTACCTGCAGCAGTGTTGACTGCTAGGTGTGAAAGTTAAAGTCCATTGGAACTGCTCTGCATAAACCTGGGCAAACCGGTATCTTTTCCAGAGAAAATCTTATCACTTAGTCACAGTATAACAGTAATGCATTAAAGTATAACAAAAATATTTCATAGGTCAAGGCTTCCCGTCTGTAACTGTCACCTAAACTAGTTTAAGGAGGCTGGAACATGAAAGGAGCTGCCCTCTGCTGTAAGATAGCACATGTAATCTGGAGTCACGTTGGATGTGAAATATTTTCTATGAACTCTGAATTGGCACAGTGAATTTGCAGTAAAAAGGCAGGATGACTGCACAAGAATAAAGCTATTCAGTAATGAATGTATTTGTGTCAGAAATTGGTCTGTGCAATTCCACATTTATATGTTGTCCATTTTCACTCACAGCAGAGCTCAAAACTGAGCATAGGTCAATGAAAAGGAATAATGCAGTGCTGCTGTGGTGAGAATTATCCATTCAGCATCGAGCAGAATAAGAGCCATGATGCCCTGAAAATCTCATTTAAATCGTTTTCTTAGGAATGTCAACAAAGGTGTTCTCCTCCAAAGCTATTTCACTAAAATTTGCTGTTCCTGCTTCACATGCAGTTTTTTGCTCTTGGTCTGCTTTTTGCGGGTCTTGCCTTTATAAACCAAACAGCTATTTCTGGGCTAGTGACGAGAGGCTCCAGATTAGTCCTACACCCTTACCAACAATCATCACACAGAAGGAACATATTTATGAATCACTCGCATTTTCGGCAGCTGTCAGACTGACTGCAGCATGCCCCAATTTTTCTGCTTGTCTATAGAGAAACTGCAGGCACGAGAAGGAGGACATACTTCTGATTCTCAGAAGTCAGTACTTGTCTGGATTGAAAATGATAAATTGCAATCGTCGAGTAAAACCTCCACCAAAAGAGCTTGATGACTGCATGGGTATCCAACCTTTGGAATACCTGGGCCACACTGAATGCAGAGTTGTTGTCTTGGGCTGCATATAAAATATATAATAAACACAAATAAATAATAACACTTTTTTCCCTTTAAATTAAAACATAAAAAAAGAAGGCGACATGAACACAAAGCTAGTGGGATATTTGACATTTTTGTTAAAATAATGCATCAGTCTGGTTTGATGGAAGTGGTTGCAATTCCTGGTGAGTTCTCAAGGTGCTCATTATTGATCCAATTTTTCTCTTTCTGTGCTTCATCCTTGAAAAGAGTTGTTCACAAATGTACATACTGCCCAAAAGCGATGGTGCAAATAAGGCTGGATTGTGAAACAAAGCATGTTTCTCTCTGGTAAGATTGGTCTTATGGAAGTCTAGTAGGGAGACATGGTCACATTTTTCTTTGAGTTGAATGTCTGATTGCAACTTTATACATTCCATTTGAAAATCTGCAAGCAATGTACTTATTTATAATATATTTACAATACACAAAATTGTAAATATACTTATGTTTGTAATATATTGCCCTATTCCGACTTATTCCCAAGACATAAACTGTTCTGTACCTTCCATCAACCTCTAGACCTCTCCCTTTTTTCATATCCTGGCATGAGAGAAGGAGTGTAGCATAGTGTTCTCTATGCACAGATGAGCTATGGGGTTGTGCAGCAGCCTTCTGGTTTGGCTCCCATCCTTTCGTAGCACTGGGTTTTCTTTGCTGTTACCAAGCACTGAGCTGATGCTTTAACAGGGCTATCGCAGATGACCTCAGATTCAAGTTCAAGCTAGCTCTGGCTAAGCTTCCTCATCTGGACTTGTGCCATAGTGTGAGACAACATGCAGGAATTGGGCAAAAGCGTGAACTTACGTGATAATGCAGAAGCACTGCACAGTTTGTTTTTCAGACCAATGCAGTCACCCACGTGCCTGAAAAAAAGCTGACTGGAAAGCCTTGGAGACTTTCTGAATGCTTCTTGTTCACAAAGAAACTTCAGTAAAATTGAAGGGCTAGTGTGTGGGAGGAAATGTGTTCTCACCTTGTACATCAAGGAGGAAGGTGACCTTCAGTAAACACAGCAGAGAAGCACAGAGAGCTCATGTTGCACTCCATACCCTGGTCAGATCTCGATCTGCTCTTATTCTCTCACCTGGAAAGAAGTATATACAAGAAGAGCTTATGCAAGGTCACTCCTGGGTTTGCATAAGAAATGGCTGCTTTTAAGCATATTTGAAAGAGATGGAGTACATACACAGCCAGTGGATGGACTGAACCTGAGCTTGCCTGAAAAAGACAGAGGATTTTAAGCAGCACCAAGGTAACATACATGATCTCCAAAGTACTTCCCACCATTATTACACATGGTAAACACTGCCAAGGATGTTGAGCATGGGAGAGCCAACTGTTAAATGTGTCTGCTTCAACAATGCAATTTAACACTGCACTTCGCATGCAGGCTCCCTGGGAAAGCAGCCTTTCCTAATGACCTTTCTTCTGAGTTTTACTTCTCCATTTCAGGCTAACAATGCCAACTAAGTCACTGTGGTACTATTTCACCCTCCATCTGTTGTCTCTTAGCCAACCTTCCCTCATGGTCTACATTATATCTGCATTCTTCTTCCCAGCTTCCCTACCTTTTTCTCATTCCTACAAAGCCCACTGAGCTACATCAAAAGCCTTTACAGAATCACAGAATCACAGGGGTTGGAAGGGACCCCCAGAGATCATCGAGTCCAACCCCCTGCCAAAGCAGTTCCCTACACCAGGTCGCACAAGTTGGTGTCTGGAACATCTCCAGAGAAGGAGACTCCACCACCTCCCTGGGCAGCCTGTTCCAGTGCTCCGTCACCCTCACTGTACAGAAGTTCTTGCACACATTGGTGCAGAACTTCCTATGCTGCAGTTTCCGGCCGTTTCCCCTCGTCCTGTCTCCACTCACCACTGAAAACAGTCTGGCCTCGCCATTCTGCCCCCCACACCTTAGATATTTACAGACCTGGATCAGGTCCCCTCTCAGCCTTCTTTTCTCCATGCTGAACAGACCCAGTTCACTCAGCCTTTCTCCATAGCAGAGATGCTCCAGGCCCTTCACCATTTTGTGGCCCTCTGCTGGACTCTTTCCAAGAGGTTCTTGTCTTTTTGTACTGGGGAGCCCAGAACTGGACGCAGTGCTCCAGATGAGGCTTCAGCAGGGCAGAGTAGTTTCTGCTTGTGACCATGGAAAAAAAGTCAGAAAACATATTTATATAAATCTCTCAGTAACAAAAATGAGCCGTGTGTCACTTCTCAACTTGTGTTTGATGTCTTCGATAGCTGTAACACAAGCTTTAATTCCTAGATTTTTTTTGCCCAGCCCTTTGCAAAATCATGCAAAGGAACATGCTTTCTTTCTAAAAGGAATTTTCAAATTAAAATATTTTATACAATATTTTACATATTATATTCTATATAATTCAGCAAAACCTCTACCATTAGTGCATGAAAATGCCTGATGCTTTAACTGTCTGCAAATATCAAGTACAGCTATTTTAGAAAATTAAAAATTGCACTTAAGCAGCTCTGCAAAGTAACAAAAACTTTCACTATCAGTCTTGAAAGGTTACCCTGAATTTCTTTCCTTTTCTGTCTTACGGATTTCAATTTGAATTCAGGTATAAGTGTGATTACAAAAGAACCCATGTCTGAGGGTAGGCATGTGATCATGTGCTTCTGCTGAGGAGTGGTTTTGCTGCAATGCTCAGTACAAAGAATATCCTCAAGTTCATTTCTGAATCAAAACTTTACATGTCAGGTCAAGTGTTGGAGTCTGTCAGAGTGTCACATAGGTTTGACTATCAGATGAATGCTTGTAAAAAAACCTTTGTCACTGTGTGATAGGACAGTATAGGAACAACCTACGAGAACATGTTCCTCCATCTTTGTAGACCCCTTACTTTTCAGTTTCATGTCTCTCCAGGACATTGCGATTCTCTCCAGCAGCTTCTACTGAAAATTTGCATATTTTTTCCATATGTGAGTATTTATTTCCTAACACACTTGTGGATAAGTAAATCGAGCAGTCTATTGGAGCAAATTGGTTCAACTTAGTGTTAAAACTATTTGCATGCTGCATTTATTCCAGAGGCATGTTTGTCCCACTGGTTCTGATCTTATCTTTACTCTGTACCAAGAAATGACTCCCATGAACTTTAGTAGGTCATCCTGTTAAACATCTATCCACTCTCTCCCACTCTTCCTAACCATCTAGAAATAATAATTAACTGAATGTGCTGGGAAGTGGGTGGTGACTTCACAATCCAACTCTTGCTATGTATTTCAGATGACTTATACATTGCTAGGGGTTTTTTCCACTACGGAAGTCCCTACTCAGAGTTACCAAAAGATTTTTCACTGTTCTTCATTTCTTTGGCGAAGAAGCAATATACATTTTTAAATTTGCAAAAGCAGGCTTTGTGCCCCTGTGCGTGGGTGTGACCCCATCAAAAGCAGCACGCCATGAAGCAGAGAGCTCACATCTATGACTGTTGGGAAATGGAACAACTGAGTCAGGCAGAACTCCGTGCCAAACCTCTTCTGCTTTATAGCAACTCCAGTCCTTTAAAGATTCTGCCAAAGTCTTTGGAAGTCTGCTGCTCAATAACATACTTTGGGAATAGTATTGATATATTCAGCGGAGTAGAGAAGGTATTTGAAGCAGCTTGCAACTGTGAGAAAGTGCCTAGCACAGGGCAACAGGTTCACTGGTTGCAGCTAGCAGAAACAGAAAAAGAGCCTTAAGGGAGGTAAAGCCAACTCCTGTTGGTCAGATGCAGCAGCTCTTTGGAGGAAACTTGCTGGCTTCAGCTGCAACCAGCTTCAGCTGGCGGCGGGATGTGTCACCTCACACATCCTAGCCTGCTGGGCATTGCTTGTAAGGAACCTCTTTAAAAGGCTGGGAAAAGAGATCACAGTGTGTTGCACTGACTCTTGGGAAGCCAGCAGGTTCCCCACATCCATTTGACTTAAAAACAAAACCTAGCGGCTTTGTTTATTTAAACGCCTCAAAAATGTGGTTTTGAAAGAGGCTCAAAAGCCACATGAAGACTAACATGTTAAAACGAGCCTGAAATTCAGGTTTAAGAGTTTCATTATAACCAAGGCTCCTATTAGGTATCCAGAAGGAGGCAGTTCTTTCTAGCTGAGTAGCTGAGTATCAGTGAGGGACGGAAGGAAGTTCTGCAGCCATGGTACCAGGAGATTGCTGCCAGGATTGCACACAGCCATAGCCAGCTAGTCCCTTGCCTTCACAATTACATTTGTCATGAAAACTAGGTTGTTTTTCCTCTTCATTTAACTTCATTTAGAGTTGAGCAAGGCAGTTGTCAGGGGATAAACCAAACATTTTTTCAGCTTGTAAATACAGATCATACATGTTAATTACCCAGCTCAATCTCCTTATCTGAAATACCAAGGAGAATGAGGTTGTTGGTGGGAGAAGGTGCCTGCCAGCATTCCTGAAAACTTACTTTTGGAGCATCTGGACCAAACTACATTGCATTAAATGGAAAGGCTATGAAGCAAAGGTAAGCATCCCAATTAATTTCAAGATCATTTAGAATGGTCTTCCTGTATAATTATTTTATTTTGATGCTTGTAATATAGGAAAAGACACCAAGAAAGTAATCTAAAGGGCTTTGGAAGAAACCTGGGAAAGAGTATGTCAATCAAACTAGGATCACATCACTCCCTTTCTAGTAGGCCTTTGTATTTCCTAGAATACATTTGCTGTAAGGGTGAAAAAATACAATTAATGCTAAATTATAAGTGAGTATGTCATTTTTTTCTAGGGCTCTGAGCTGGTCCAATCTCCTTGCATTCTACTTCTAACAAGGGAGAGCCCAGAAGCTTGTCCTCCAATTCATGTCTGTAAATAAAACAATTAACACCGATTTCCAAGAGAAGAAGGATAGCCTGCGGCTCTGCGGGCTGCACATCTTGCTCCATTTCTTTGGGATGTGTTTGTTTTGGGGCCAATCGCTACACCAAAGGCATTACTTAGAGATGCCTTTGAAAGGCATCTACTTAGAGAACTGAAAGGAGATATGAGGCTACTCAAACAGCGATTACCCAATCCTATGTGACGCAATTGATTTATGAGTATTAGATGTTTGTGCAAAACACTGGGTTAACAGTTGTAAACAGATTCTAGAAACCATAACCTGCCTGTAGTTGTATTTGTTGCAGCTTCATTTCTCCCTGATACCTGCAGGGCTGGCAACCCCTGAAGTTCCAGGAGACAGATAAGTCCATGTTAACCTTTCATCTCTGGGTCTTTAGATCGTTCTCATTCATGCTGACAAAGCCAGCATGCTGCCCTTACCCACAGTGACAAGGCTGTGTCGCTTGTTGCACTTCCTCCTCCCTGTCTCTTCTTATCAGTCCACCAGCAAGTTCATTTACCTTTACCCATATTCTAACTATGCCATTCAGAGTGTTTTATTAGACCTCAAAATACCAAGCAGTGTCTAAAGAATCCTTTTCCTGCTATAAGCCAGCTTTTAACTTCATGTCACACACAGTGATCAAACAGGGAGTGTGCAGATGGAACTCTCATTGTCATGGGTAAATGACAACCAGCTATTTCCGACAATTCACTTTTCAAAACTTGTTCAAGATGACTCTCATATGAAGCTCAGCTGCAAGAAGTACAGAACTCAGACAATAGCACCCACAGGCTCACAGCAAGTTCAGTCATAAACAATGAGTTCCAAAAAGGATTAAAAGAAGCTTTCACTCTTGTCTTGGATGAACTCAGTGGCATACTTTGTTTATAGCTCCCTGGATGTTCTCTATTCACTGTCCAACAGTCCCAAAAGCACTGTGTTTGGCAAACGGTGACAATACCACAATCGCCTTGTAGTGGCAGACAGAGCTTTGATTCGGTCATGCTGTGCCTCTCAGAGCACTTTTCAGCCATGCCTAGATATCAGAAGTGTTAATATAAACGTAGGATTTGATTTTTAAAAGCAGTGGGTAGAAAGATTTAGAAGTTTTGCACTTTAACACAATCATTCATCGAATAAAATTTTCATTTCCCAATCTTTCTGTTGAAAGCGGAAAGATAACAGTGGAATAACAGAACACAGCTATCTGAAACCAAGCTCGCTTTGT